GGCCTTTGCGCACAAGGAGCAACTGGTTTCAGTCTTTTTGGATATTAAGGGCGCATTTGATTCAGTTTCCATAGACATACTGTGAGACAGTTTGCACAGTAGTGCTGTAGTAATTTGCTGTCAGAAAAACAAATGACCTTCAATATAGGTCAACTGACAACTTTTAGAATTAGCTGCATGGGCTTACCCCAAGGTTCATGTTTAAGTTCCTTACTTTATAATTTATATGTCAAAGATATTGATAACTGCTTAGATAATCGATGCACGCTTAGACAGCTTGCAAACGTGGCCGTGGTTTCCCTGAGAGGTCCACGTGCGGAAATTTTGTAAAGACCATTGCAAAATTCCCTAAATAATCTGTCTTTCTGGGCAAGAAATTTAGGGATCGAGTTTTCATCGCAACGAAGGATCAACTTTCTACGATCAATTTCCGGGACATGGTGGGGTGCTCACCCGGAAGACATAATTAAACTGTATAAAACAACTGCTCTTTCAGTTCTTGAGAGTATGGCTCTTTTTGCAAAAAAAAGCCCACCTAATCAAATTGGAACGCATTCAATATCGTTGTTTACGTATTGCCCTTGGCGGTATGCATTCAACACACAATATGAGCCTAGAGGTTCAAGCCGGAGTAAAACCCCTGCAGAACCGTTTCTGGGAGCTCTCATTAAGAATATTGATTAAATGTAGTGTCAGTAACAACTTTGTGATTGAAAACTTCGAAGAATGCTCGAATTGAGCATCCAATTTAGATTCGTGCTAATCTATCTTAATTATATGTCATCAGAGATTAGCCTTCCGTGCTATAACCCCCCTCGTGAATGCTTTACTAACTACAGTTCCCCCATTGGCTATGATCTCTCCATGAAGCAGGCTATTCAAGGAGTTCCAGATCAACTTCGACCTATCTGAATTCCCCGTATTTTTGCTGAAAAGTACCAACAAGTCAATTGCAATAGAAGATTTTTCACTGATGGAACAACTGGCTTCGGTGTCTTCAATGAATACTCAACCGCCTTTCGGAAACTTCAGGAACCTTGTTCCGTTTATGTTGCTGAACTAGCAGCAATCAACTTCGCATTGGAGATGATTTCCGACATGCCCATAGACCACTTCATCTTCTCGGATTGTCTCAGTTCGATTGAGGCTATTCGGTCGATGAAACAAGGTAGGCACTCATCTTATTTCCTTTCAAAGGTAAGAGAGCAGATGAGTTTGCTGGTCGAAAGATCATATATGATTACCTTTGTATGGGTCCCCTCACATTGCTCAATCCCAGGCAATGAGAAGGCAGACTCTCTTGCAAAGGTGGGCGCACAACAAGGCGAGATTGATGATAGAAGAATTTCACATGATGAATTTTCCCCATTAGTACGTCAGAGTTCTCTTTTAAGTTGGCAAAACCATTCGACAAGTAATTCTCTTGGGCGGTGGTTACATTCCATTATTCCAAAGTTTCTTCGAGAGCGTGGTTCAAAGGTCTGGATGTAAGTCGGGGATTCATTCGAGTGATGTCAAGACTTATGTCCAACCACTACTCGCTAGACGCACATCTCTATAGAATAAACCTCGTTGACAGTAATACAGGGTGATTCGGAATAGCTGTCCCTTTTAAAAATGGTCATAACGATTGAACGCTTGCATGAATTTTTGATATCATTATATTCCAGATATTCTGGATATATAACCTTCAACTAAGCATAGTTTATTTCAAATCTCTCTCCCTTTACCTTAATTATCAGCCACATTTGTCATGAAAATTAACCACAGCTGGCACGCACGCTTTAGTTCCAGCACTTTTTGAGTCCCGGTGATGCGTTTAAGCTCTGATATTGAACGGATTATCCAAGCATGGTTCCTTTGTACCTCTATAATGATGCAAAAATAAATGTTACATTCTTTCGAAGAGATTTCAGTTTCTAAAAGATAACACCCGATTTTTTTACAGATTTATGCCATGCTCCATTTGGACGTCAATGGCTGTTTGAAATCACAAACGAATGAAATTTCAAATCCTACTATCAATACAAGCTGATATGTGTACACACTTAAAACAAAAATACTTGAACATATACCCATTTTACCCATTGAGAATTGCATATTTGTGAAATGGTTGACAGTTATTCTGAATCACCCTGTATATGTAGGTACAGAACCGGTTATGATGACATCGATCACGCAGTTTGGTATTGCCCGGGTAATGACGCCTCCAGAGCATGACTGTTGGATACCCTAGTGGCCCGAGGTAGACAACCCTTCCGTGAAGTAAGAGATGTATTGAGAACCCGTGATCTTCCCTACATGCAGATGCAGATGCATGCAGATGTGACCATCCCCTCCTTTCCAAACAACTTCCAGTCATTGTGTCCCAGTCTTAATATCCTCCTGTTTCTGTGCTACTTGCCCCTGCCCAGCCAGGATTTGGTCAACTGTCCGAGAGTAGTATCTGAAGGAGGCTTCAGAAACCAGTTTTCTACCTAGCTCCTTCCAATCGAAATTGTTACCCATTAACCTCGATCCCGCCACGAGTAAATGGTACCCAATACTAACCTAGAACTACTGCTGTTTAAAATTTAAATTCAAACATTACTGATTTTTGGCTCCGCAAAGTGTCACACACGACTGAGCCTAGTAAATAAACGAACTAGTAAAAAAAAAACTATTAGGCGCGCGAAAATTACAATTTCAACCACTGTGCATCGGTGAGACTGAGGGAGTGTTCCTCCTTACGGCAAACAAATTCCTTCGATGTCTGATCAATCTAGAGCCCCGTAACGTGGGTAGATCACCTTTTCGTGGTACGTTACGGGATGTAAGATCTACCACCGATTCCTAGTCCTAACTTCTTCAAACTAGGGGAACAGGATTTTTCAGTAATCGAAGGAACACATCTTAGTCCTTGTTACTTTTTATGCCTTGTTGATAGTGATAAGTCCTCGGGTTGCCTGGACCGAGGATGATCTTGAAACAAGGGAAAAATGAGTTAGTTAGTCTTCATCTATGTGATTCCTAATCTTCTAATCGTTGTTCCCTAGTTTGAAGTGGTTAAGACTAGGGTTCTGATGCATGGTCATTATCGGTGTCATAGCTTGTTTTTGTTGTTAAGGAATCCAATTTTGACTGACAAAGGGGCGCGCCTTTGGAGGGTGTTCCAACTCCGAAGGGTATAAATAGCGGAACCTTTCAGTTAGAATCGATTCCTTGCGATGAAGGCAAGAATGACAACTGTATCAAAACCGAATACTTCATCATTTCTCAATAGTGATGGAGTAATACGACATGCACTAAACTAAGGGCACGGGATATACTACAATAGATCAAATTACTGGTCGCAGTGGTGTTATGTCCCGAACAGAGAAAAAAAAAACTCTAGAGCTCTCTCCAGTTGCTGAGGGTCACTGGTTAGGAGACAGAGATTGGAAGGAACTCCCTTCAATTGATGAATTGACAAATTATGTATCTTGAAGAAGTCATCTAGAACGGGTTTTTTTCTGTATGGATAGCTGTCATAAACACTTTTCGATAATTGTTGTAGCACTGCATAAACCATTTTGTACGTCACGATGGTGATGATGTATTTTTGATATTTGATTTAATTGTAGTAGTTAATTAAAAAAACAAGTAACTTTGAGTAGTCTACAAAGTTTTGAGTCTCGCGCGCGTTTTACGGATATAAAGAGCTAAATTTAACAATTGATGAAAACAAATTTGAACTTTGAAGCTTATTTTGAAGAAGCTTTAAATTAGTAGTAATGTTCGGGATTCCTTGAAAATTATGATAGCATCAGATTGCGAGGACGCCCGTGTTTTCGCTCCTAATTCTCAAATCACTTCTCTTGTCACAGTTTCTTTAGGATGTAATCAAAGCGAAAGCACGATATCTCCCTAACTATAAACAAAGTGCACTCATTATAGACTATACTGCCTATAATCCCATATCAGTCCCATATGGAAAAAGTAGACATTGATAAAAAGGCAGTTGAAGTTACGAAGTGTAATACCCATGTAAATATTTGAAAAATCATATAACTAACTTCAAGTTGAAATCAGTTACAATGAAGCTTGCATGTTTTGTTATATCACCGAAAATATGGCGATCCAAAAAGCAGAACTGTAACTTGACTAATGGGACAAACTGACTTGATATTGTTTTCACATTTTTCAAGATCAAAGTCCGTAGTTTTAGCACGTAATCCTTACATATTGCCAATTGATAGTTGATAACGTTACGACGATATTAATCATAAAATTGACGAAAATCCATATGGGACAGATATGCGATTATAGGCAGTACAGTGCACTCAGACTCATGCGATGTTCTTGGTGAGGGGTGAGCCGATGCGTTTTACGCAAATCCTAGCCTGCTTGATTCGTGCACCTATGTCCCGCCGTCTGACGCTATCTGACTGTCTGATGCTTTGTTGATTATTCATGAACTCTTGATCGCTGGAGCTTACGAATATTTGAGGTGGACAAAAAAGTGAGCAAGAGGTGAACTCCTAAGCTTTTTCTCATTTATATCGCTGTGAAGCAAATGTAAACTGTAAACGGAATTTACATCTGTAACTGTAACCAGTTCGTTTTTGTTTGTAATGTGATATTACGACATGCACCAAATAAAAATGAGGGACATATCGCAAAAGATCGCAGTGATTATTCGGGACCTGAACAAAGGGGGAGAAGAAAAATGGAACTAACTAGCGAAGCGAACTCCTTCAGACTAGATCTTCCAACAAGAAAAACGTAATTTTACCTTGTAAAATGATATATCTTCCTAGTCTGGCCACATTGTTGATAGGCTAAAGGCTATTACAGTGCTTTCATATTTTAGAAAAAGAAAAAATGCTTAACCACTCGTTTTATTTCCCCAGATTACTGCTAATAGACATTGACCCTAGAGCTAGCGATATTTTCTACTTTACCTTAACCTTAAGAAGGTCCTCGGTTATTCCTTTAACCCAAAATCATGCGACACATTGCCTTTTTATTTCCTCTTGTAGGACTATCAGTGGACGTGGACTATGAGTACGAACGGGGTCGCAAGGTAGCTGGGCCACTGTCACCTCTGATGCATCAGGATTCTGCTCAGCTATAGTTTTTCCTGTAAGAGTCGAGAATAGTACCTACCAAATACAGCAAGCAGCAGGCTGATAATCAGAGAAACATCTTTGGAGGAACCACAGAGCAACAATAGTCTCTTTATCATCAGTTCACGACGACACGACGTCCCATTGGACGCTGCAAAGTATACCCCATGTACACAAGTTTTCGTTTATATATATTTTAGTTGTTTTTAAGTAGTTGAAGATTGAAAAGTTTTTTACGTGTGGAACAATAAAATCACACACGCGCAACTGATATCCTTTGAAGAAGTGTATTTTTTTTACGGCGAAAAACCTCATTCCCAATTTGTCCGAATTTCAATAACCGTTTGTATCCGCTTCAAATTGTTTCCTGGAGCGGAGATTGTTTGTATGCTAATCGAAAAAAAGAAGAAGTTAAAAACGATTAGATCGAAGCTTTAAATTTGAATCAGAATTAATATAAAAAAGAAGAAAAAAGCATCTATTAAGTAATGATTAGCATTTTTTAGTGTTCACGCAATCGATTCGTATGCATAATAGTATTTAGTAGCAAGCAACGATGATATGTGGTAATAAACAAGGAGGAAGCATATAAGGCTTTTTTTCGTTCGTAGGTCAACAAGAATAATTAAAACAACAACAACAACAATGAAGACAATGCCATTAGTCTAGTCAGCGAATTCCTTTTGTTTTTCAATCTTGTGTTGTAGGTATGCGGAGAAAGTTAATTTTGGGCTTATTTTTTTCTTAACTAAGAGATGCAAATTGGACAAATTATTGTTTGACGGAAAAGAGTATACTGGAATAGAAGAATGAGAAATGAGGTGGTTTGATTTCTAGCAGCGCTTGTGAAGATAAAAAAGAAAAAGAGGAAATAACGACGAATGAAGACTTGTTATTACTACCTACTACTAACGAAAGAGTGATAATAGGAATGTAAGGATTTTTTTTTTCGTTTCGTAGGAAATGGTTTGATAACAAATTGAAGCAGGACTGGTCTGGAGATAGGAAATGCGTATAATAGTTGTTAGAGATAGGTAAACAAAACAGTTGGAAACTTGTACAATCCGTTGATTGGTGTGGAATGAAAAGTTCTGATTTTACACATGCAGAAAGGTTGTACGGACGGTGTGGATTTCACTTTTTGATTTTTTTTTACTCATGAAGACTCTACCTCGAGTTAGCTAGCCTTTGGGGTGTTCAATCAGATACTTTTTTTTTTTTTATTTTAGGATTTGGGACTGCTTTTTAAAGATCATCTTATTCGGAAATATTACGGTCTCTCGTAGATAATAACATCTTGAAGGCACAATTAGTTAATGAGTAGCTGAACAAGCAATGAAAATCAAACAACTTCCTGAATGCTGCACCAATTTTCTCCTTGCTTGTGCCGTGCCTGCAATAAATTTCAGCTTTTGTATCGTCCTCCTTTTCTTGACATATGACGTTTAAAAACCTGGAACTTTTGTCTGCTCTTTGCCTAATTGGTATTTTTGTTGATGATTTCAGCAGGTAATAATTGAGAGCTTAGCATTGCGAAAATTTCCATTTCGAAAGGTTACTCGACTTGGTGGAGGTCCTATTACATATTAGAGATGTGATTGGCTTTTTTTTGGTCATACTCCATTAGTCCGAAGTTTGAGAACCCTTGTTTCAGAAGCAGTAATGCCCCCAGAACTGGAATTGTATTCCTGCGCTAGCACACAGAGCTTGAGTGATTAATGTTTGCTCAAAAATTTATCAGGCCCATTTTGTCCCGCGAGCAAACTATTTTATTTCATATGGTAAATTTGCATTGTAGTACCTGACATGAAATTCAATAATTTCGCTACTTGTTAGCTCATTAAAAAATAAAGTTCACCCTCATGCTCTCTTTATGTACCGAGCGAAGGTGCTCAATGATCACATTATCACTTATTGACAGGTTTCAACAATGCAAACAATCATGGGCAACCCGGAAACAACTCATCAAGTTCACATAAATAGCAATTATTTTCGGCTTATGACAGTGAGCATTTTCAATACCCAGAAGCTAAAGACGAGCTGTAAGAATCTGCTTATCAAATTAATTGGATTTTAGATTTAAATTTCTTCTGATAGTCCCTTCTGATGAAGTACTTCTCTGGTAACCAAAATGTCAGCCAATTCGCCATTTGGCTTCATAGACCTGTTCCACGGCTAACATAGGACTTGTTAGCTTTAATATCAGCCTTATTCAGCTGAAAGGCGGCTTGTTGGTTATTTAGATTAAAATTTAAATTGGAACAGAAACAGCTGAATTGTTTTCATAATCCAGTACCTTGCTAATAAGTATTTTTTTAAGCTGAAAGATAGTTTTATCAATTTAAAATTTGCTTGAATAAGCACCATCCAGCACCAGGAAGTCTACAGTCAATTTGAGAAAAAGTTATGAGTAAATTTACCGCCCTAATTTTACTCCCGTTTATACATGATCCCTCAATACAAACGAAAGACGCAATAATCACAGAACGGCGACAGGCAGATAAGAAAAGTTAGTCCAAAGATTAATAACGATTAGTTATCTAGCAAAAAGAGAAGGAACTAGTAGAACTAGTGCATAATAAACAGAAGAAACAAAACAATTAACATAAACAACACAAAGAGAAACAAAAGATATCCTCTATTTGTATATCAAAAACAATAAAATCAACAAAAACAGCGGTACGCAGGTGCAAAACAAAAACTCTTGCAAGCAAAAAATGTTCGATAAGTTCTGTTGGAGAATTTTTATTCGAAATATACCTTACACCCAAAAGAAGATCGTCAATAAAAAAATACAATAACTTACATCCGAATGTTTCTTAATAATAATTTAAAAAAATGGGCGAAAAAGCCGCAGAAATGCAAATATTTTAATAGGAGAGTAATTTTTTTCCTTTTCTACCAGCTATCCGGTTAAACCAGTAAAGTCGGCAAATTGTAAAAAAAAGGATTCGTAAAATTTTGAACAGTTAAACCAATCTGTGGCGAATAATTAAGCATATAAATAGTTGTTGAGAAATCTTTCAGAATCAGAGAGGTGAGCTCTATTTTTTTTTCCGGTACGAGAAAGCAGAAAGGCAGTGGCAAAAGAAAACGAAACAAGCACCAAATGCAAAATAAACATTAATAAAAGCAGGTGAAACGAAGGAGAGCGAAAAATGTATTAAGCATTAAGCTGAATAATTTACAAATACACAGGCAAAAGAAGGAGGCAAACTGTATAAAGTGAGATAAAAAGAAAACCAGTATAAGTTATAATAGGTTTAACAATTAACAATAACAGGAGAGGAATGTAGTTTTGAAAATTGAGTCGAAGAGTACATGGAAGCTGCGTTGTAAAAATAAAATAGAAACAAAAGTTGGCTAAAATTGAGCTGGAAAGCTGGAAATCAAATTCGGGATGAGAAATGCTGAAAATAAATTAAAGAAAACTAAAATGAAATATTGCTGAATATATGGCTAATTTTGTATAATTCTTTTATCCGAACTGAACATTGTTTTGATTCCATGATCAATAGCACGGAAATCTCACGCGCGTTAATGCAGCTTATCGCTTATCGGTTTAGTACCGTTTTTCCCCAGTTTCGTGATTAGTAAACACAAATAGATATTTTGTCAAAATTTCCAATTTAATCCAGACTTTACGATAGGGCACGTAACGAGATAATGATTACTCTATAAAAGCATCGGTCGATCATAGAAACGGCAGCAGTCCATCCGACTTCGAAGAAACAATGAAAACTCTAGTGCTGTTGATTGGTGTCCTGGCCGTGGCCAGTGCCGAGTGGATCGAAATCGATTGGTCCCAGGTGCGTCCGATCGAAGAATTCGACCACTACTGGGCTCGTCTGCCAGCTGAGGTGCAGTACTTGCGTAAACTTCTTCCGGAACGCCGCATCACCAATGGAGAGCAGGCCACCCCCGGACAGTTCCCGTACCAGATTGCTCTACTTAGTACTTTCGGTGGTGGTACCGGTCTGTGCGGTGGATCCGTTCTGAGCAACAACTACATCCTTACTGCTGCTCATTGTGTTCAAAATGCCCTCGGAGGTACCGCCATCATGGGAGCCCACAACCGTATTAACACTGAACCAACTCAACAGCGGATTGCCTTCGGTTCAGGTGGAATCAACATGCATCCTGGATACACTCCAACCAACATCCGTAATGACATTGCCACTGTTCGTCTGAACAGCGCCATGACCTTCAACGATCGTGTCCAGCCTGCTCGCCTTCCAGCCGCCGGAGATTCTCGTACCTTCGCTGGTATGACCGGTACCGTTTCTGGATTTGGACGCACTTCGGATGCCAGCCAGGCCACTTCTGCTGTTGTCATGTTCACCAGCAACCCGCTTATGACTCAAGCTGACTGTCTTTCCAGCTGGGGTGGTAACACCAATCTGATTCAGGCTCAGAACATTTGCCTGTCTGGAGCCGGTGGTCGATCAGCTTGCAACGGCGACTCTGGTGGCCCACTAACTGTCCAGGATGGTGGCAGTCTGCACGTCGGTATTGTGTCCTTCGGATCGGCTGGTGGATGCTCGATCGGTATGCCATCGGTGTACGTCCGTGTTACGTTCTTCAGAGATTGGATTCTGGCTAACTCAGATCTGTAAATAATTGCCTTCTTATATTGACCGGATGTAAATAAATTGTACTATGTTTTATATATTGTGGTTTATTCAAATGCAACTAGGTGGATGGCGCTCCTATTAAGCCGGAACTCATCCCCGATCTGAGAGTCGGCGTTCAATTGCCTTGACGTTCAATTCACAGTTCTTCAAGAGTCTGTCCTCCATTTGAAGTTTTGACCGTTAGCTGTCCCAGTAGTTTTTTTCCGCGTAGCCAACGGTTGCAATGATGAACTTACTAAGTTACTTATCAAAAGAAAACCTTCTACTCTCCACGAATGAGTGGAGGGGAGAAGGCCTGATGTAACCCTTGTGACCTAATGATAAACTTACGCCAGTTAGGTGATCAACCGTTGTACTGACAGGCAGGACAGTTTGATGCCGTATGTTGTTTTGAAGAATCCACCACCGCTTTGCCCACATGCATCAGGACGGAGCGGTTACTTGCTTTGTGCCTTCTAGCCAGGGTTTGTAGTAAATCAATTCTCGTTTGGCACCTCTTCTTCATCTCGTTAAAATGGTCACCGGAAGAAAGGCGTACGTCTGGCCCAAGACGCGGACGGACTTTTTGAATGACATCGACATGGCAGGGCATGGATGTTCATCGAACAGATGTGAGTGTATGAACATTTTTACATTGACAATTGAAATCCATCAGAACTGGTTCAACTTAGGCTCTGAACCATTTGGTGGATTATTTTAACTTTTGGTTAAAATTTGACAGATGAAAAGTTATCGATTAACCCTGCTATCCGAGCGTGGTTACTTTTGACAGAGAAGAAGTTAAATTTTGACGACCGTGGCTCGAAAACCGGTCGATCGACAGCACGGGGATTTTCGAACATAAGAAATAACTTTCGAAATGTCACTTTTAACCACGAGTTAAATTTAACTTGGCAAATGGTTCACAGCCTTAGGCTTTGAACCATTTGGTGGATTATTTTAACTTTTGGAAAGTTATCGATTAACCCTGCTATCCGAGCGTGGTTATTTCTGACAGACAAGAAGTTAAATTTTGACAACCGTGGCTCGAAAACCGGTCGATCGACAGCACGGGGATTTTCGAACATAGAAAATAACTTTCGAAATGTCACTTTTAACCACGAGTTAAATTTAACTCCGCAAATGGTTCACAGCCTTAGAAGCATAGAGGCAGACCCCCTTCACTCTTTGGAATTTATAGAGACAGATAACAGCGCCAAACGGTTTGTGACGAGACAACGTTGAACTGCAGCGTTGGAAGAAAACACGTACATCAACATCTATACATGTACGAACCCACACAACTGAGCGGACGGTACAGCGCAAATCAAAACACGAAGCGGTGTCATCACTTATCGTCATCATTCAGCTTCGGCTTCTTCCGTTCGCGTTTGCTATCAATTGACAAATACTTCCTACATTATAAAATAGGAAAGTAATGATTATTCCAATGTAATTTTTGAATAGAATGCATGCTTCGTTGGCCAAAGAAGACGGCATATTTTATTACGTTCAGCAATGATTTCGATACGTTGCATTTCCAGTGGCTGGGGTGTTGGAATAATTCTGTAGAGAGAGTGAATGCTTTTCCCATGTTTGCTTCTATGCTTATTAAGATTTTTTTTGAGCACCAGCTCCGCAAATCAACAATTACTATTAGAGATTTGCATCTTACTGATACTGGTGGTATATTGGAAACTCTTTCGCCCGAAAGTAAAACATATTACAAGCACATCATGATGCGCGCTTGGATGTGTGATGGTTTTCTCAAGTATTCCTGTTGCGTATAAAGTGGTAATGATTGAAAATCGGAACAATCACAAACAAGTAAGAATCTTGCTATCGCAATATAATGATGATGACTTCGAGGATGATATCGTCCTCTTTCCTCGGCTGATCATCAACGTCCGCATTGACATCTGTCATGCTGACACCTGTCAGTTATTGAGCCCAGGTGGTAAAGTTGGCGGGGAACTCCCAACAGTTTCAATGTGCACTCAACAGATGGCGCTGCGATCACATTCGGGTGGTAATTATATGCCTTGTATGAGGAATTGATTAGTGGGATATCTTGTTAATTTAATATCTTTGATAGAGGTAACTCTAATTAGGTACTGCAGCGTGACGTCATAAATGAACTCAGTGTTAGCCGGCTGAACCTTTTTGACAGTTCAGTGGTACTGTTTACAAGCACTTAGTCGTTTTTTCGAAAAAAATATTCTTAGATTTCCGAATTTCAACTTGAAAATTGTCGAGGAACAGCGCGTAGAAAGGATGTTGCTCATGGACATTGCAGAAGTGTGGTTTACATCTCACTGCAGTCCGAAAAATTATAGAGAAAATCCACCCAAGAAAAAATCGACTAAGTCCACGGAAACAGTACCACTGAACTGTCATCAGATTGAGGTTAACCCCGACGGTGCAAAACCTAATACCATTGACAGACATACAAAGCAGTACCATAGAGCGAGGGGGACGACTCTATCTACGATGCCAAAAAGATTGTGTGTTGCTGTGGCTAGCTGCGCGCACGCTGAGTAGATAGAAAGAAGATTGATGACGATTCTGAAGATTTCCTGCAAAAAATTGATGAGCGATGCAAGTAGATGCGACAAATGAAAGAAGATTGTTCGAAGATTGATTCGCTAGTGTTAGATTTGTTGACCATCTAAACTTGAGATTTAGATGTGTCGCCCCCCTCGCCATAGAGGTAACTCTAATAGATAATATGGACCAACAGGTCTGTGCCATAAAAAGGGAGAACTCTAATAGCGAATTCGTTTATTATTCAGTTCCAACCTGGATCGGGTATCAAGATTGGGTTTGCTTGTTTTCTGACAAACGTCAGTTTGCTCGTTTGTTTTTTAAACCCAGCTCAGGTTGACGTTCGCAATGACAAAAAGTTCGGTTTCGCACTATAATAAACGAATTCGCTATAAGACCAGAAGGTCCTGCACAGAAAAACAAAACTACCCACCGCTTGGGTTTTTTAAACTCAAATTTGAGTTATTTGACCTCTGCCCGTTTCATTTCCTCTCGCTATTGTTGTCAAAAATAGAACGAAAGATTCGACTCAACCGTCTAGTTCCGTACGAGAAGCCAAAATTGTGTAATATGCGATATACCCAAATTTGAGTTAATTGAACTTAATTCTGGGTAGAAAAAATTGAAAATAACTTAGCGATGGGTAATTTTTTTTGCCGTGCTTAAATGCAAACTACTTTGAGCCGGTTTACCCAAATTTGGCTTATCGTACGGAACATGGGAGATGAGTGAAAAGAACTTAATTTTGGGTTGTTTTGAATTTCTGTGTGAATAAACGTGCTCAAATTTTTGGCTCAGCTCTGGTACTATCATCGGTCCCAAGCTAATCTATTAACCCCTCGAAACATAGGAAAATCCACTATACTAGAATGGGATACGTTAATCGATTTGCTTGCGACCAATAGCACAAACGAAGTGACAGACGGAGCGGCTCGAAAACTTTGGTGACTAACCTGCTATTGCAATTTTTCAGTGTACCACATGGCAACACCACTACTACTGGATTGAACTAGCATTTTCACAAAATGTACTAGAATGTTTTGGTTCTATCTCTTTCACTCTACTCAAAACTGAAATGGATTTAAAAATTGACAAAATGATACCACAAACGAAGTGACAGACGACTAACTGGCGAAGAAATCTATTAAAATAATGTGGTTCACTGTAATAGAATTTTCTTGGAAGCTTGTGCCATCATCCACCAGATGGGTTAGTTTTTTTGTTTTGATTTGAACAAAGTTGATTTTGTGTACAATGATTCTTTGACAGTGTGCAAAGAGTGCGTATCATTTTGTCATTTTTTTATGCATTTCAGTTTTGAGTAGAGTGAAAGAGATAGAACCAAAACATTCTAGTACATTTGGTGAAAATGCTAGTTCAATCCAGTAGTAGTGTTGCCATGTGGTACAATCCAGTAGTAGTGGCAACAATCAATACGAAACTAACGATTTTAAATTGGCTCACAACTTTAGTAGCCTATTGGTCCCAAGCAAACGATTAACGTACCCTATTCTAGTTGAAATTCTATTACTACACTATGTTTGTTTTGATTCGCTATGAAAGTTTGACAGATAACATCAGGGGTGTGTGGATTCATGCAGAACATGCAGGGGTGAGTGAAATAGCTTGGGACTGCTTGGGACCGTTGTTCTGGTACTGAGTGAGCCAAAAATAATAATGATTTTCTTCGGGACCCAGTGGTCTTAGAGTTACCTCTATGCTACTACTGGGTAAGAAACGAGGTAAGAAAGCAGCCACGCTTACGACTACACCACTCAGTTGCATGATGAGACGTTTTTGTTCGCTCGTACAGCTGCTGAAAAAAAAAACTCAGTGAGAGAGTCACTTTTACCATAGAGGTAACTCTAAGACTAGAAGGTCCCGAAAAAACGTGCTCAACTTTTTGGCTCAGATCTGGTACTCTCTTCGGTCCCAAGCTAATCAAGTCACCCCTCGAAACATAGGAAAATCCACTAACCCCTCATTTTATCTGTCAAACTTTCATAGCGAATCAAAACAAACATTGCACCAATGCAACCGACACCAGGGAGGCAGCTCACACACCTGGACACTACCTATCGACCCATCAACTCATGAACCGGGGACCAACGGCTTTACTTCCCTTCCCCCCGAAGGAAGGCGTGATCAGAGATGTTATGCCTTAGAACATCCCGGCGGCGTCGACTGGGATTGAACCCAGGCCTGCTGGGGTGAGAGGTAAACACGCTTACCACTACACCACCGGCGCCGCTTAGTTAAAAATTTTAAAAAGCGTGGTTAAGAACCACGCACAATGCATCCGGATCTGATGCGGAAAATCTGGCTCACTTTGTCGCAACGGATCAGATCCGGATACATTGTGTACGACTCTTTTCTCAATACTGGAAAAATCAGACACGATGATATCCACACTGAACCAAAACGTCCTTGAATGAACACTGATTTCCTTGGGCTCTTTAATAATAAACTATCGAATTCCAGATGATTTTCTTTTCTCCCAGTGTTCACTCGG